ACTGCCCTGTCTGCCCGTGCCTAAAACCGCTACTGCCTAAAGTGTCAGTAAACATTTCAGTTGAAAGTCCAGAGCAAATCAAAACAGCTTCCAACCAGCAGTTTGAAGAAAATAATGGTGGAAACGTGCTCCTCAGCTATGGGAGTGGGACTCACTCACAGTTTAGACTCAGAACAGCCATGAATAAAAAACAGTACCTAAACGTCCTCCCTGAGGAACTCCTCTAATCATCCAACAACGGTTTAGTGATGAACAATGCCTTCTCCACCATGATGGAGCACCTGGACAGAGGGATGAAATCAAAACTTAGTGAATCAGGAACAAAAGATCACCATGTTGGGTCCAGGTTCAGGAACTTCCCCAGATCTTAATCATACTTATAACTTGTGGCCTATCCTCCAGAGGTGTGAGGACAAATTAAAAATGCACAAACTCCATCAGTCAGGATCTGGACCAGCATGTCAGGAGGAGCTAGAAGCACCAACACTGTTACTGTTGGTGCTTTGCATGAAACATTTCTGAACTGTAAAATGTGTGTAATTATTTCCATTGTACCATAATAACTTCTGAGAGAATTACATCAAAGTTCTTGAACTCTTTCATTCAGAGAACCTTTGACAGCATCTGTTCATCATTAGGATATAGTATAACAGTAACTGATTTCCAAACCTCTCTGTCTGTCAGGACAGAAATGCTTATTGTTGCACGTCAGCCAGCAGGAATCCAGAAACACATCACTGGGTCGTCGAACAGGAACAAAAGGCTCTGGGCTGGAGAGGGTAAAAATCCTCAGCTAAACGAATGTCAGAGGTGCTTCAGTGGAACACGCAGAACATCGGAGTACAAAGGCAGTCAGTGTGTCTGACTTCACACACGGACAGGGAGAAACCACTGAAAGAGACAAGCTGTTAGTGAGTGACAGCTGAGGAGATCCAGTCTCTTCATGATGCTGGAGGTGATCAGATTTCAGTGAGTCATGTCTCACAACATGATGGTTCAAATGTCCCCTGCAACAGAAACGGGAGTGATCTGAAATCCGTCTTAAATACCAACACTTAGTTTTCCACTTGTAACCTATGGAAATCCAAGAATATTCATCCATCCATTTTCTGAACCCGCTTCGTCCACGCAGGTTCGCGGGGGAGCTGGTGCCTATCTCCAGCGGTCAACGGGCAATTAGGCAGCATACACCCTGGACAGAGTGCCAGTCCATCGCAGGGCAACACAGAGACACACAGGACAAACAACCATGCACACACTCACACCTAAGGACAATTTAGACAGACCAATCAACCTAACAGTCATGTTTTTGGACTGCGGGAGGAAGCCAGAGAACCCGGAGAGAACCCACGCATGCACAGGGAGAACATGCAAACTCCATGCAGAAAGATCCCAGGCTGGGAAGCGAACCCAGGACCTTCTTGCTGCAAGGCAACAGCTCTAACCACTGTGCCACTGCGCAGCCCTCCAAGAATATCAAAATACAATACTGTTTATGAGCAACTTGACTGGTCATGTTTGAGGATCATTTAGGCATTGGCATCAGTAAAATCTCAAAAGCCACAAGTTTTAGCCTCTTGAACAGCCTCAGTTCAGAGAAATTGAGTTTGTGTAAGACAGCTATGAAGAGCTGGAGGCTGGTCTGAGTTCAGCCTAACCCGTACTTCACATTGGAAGCATCAGGGGCGGAATGTGGAACGTCACTCCTTCAAATTAGAATCCAACATAGTCTATGGGGGTGATTCAAACCAGCTGCGAAGTGGAAATTTTCAGGCATGTCAGGTAATTTTCTAAATAAAAGACTATTGTAGTGATGTGATTTCATATTTATATAGATTATGTCAAAACATATGACCAAATGGCTTATTAACTCCCTATATCGTTCCAGAGATGCAGTGGTGTGTTTTTCATGGCTTTAATCCTGGCACTGGAGAGGAACAACATCTATGTGACACCAGAGATATCAAACATGACTTCCTTCTTTTTGGTTTAATGCCAAACCGTGGATTTGAAGTTTCGAGAGATTTTGTAATCTCGTGAGGAGCATGGCAGAGAAGCTGCTTCACTGCTGAGATTCTCTCGGCATGTACTGGCACGCAGCAAAACTTGCGAGTAAAGTGTTCCGATCCGCGACGCTGATGCCTCCAGTGTGTAGTAGGGGTAAATATTACAATAACCCAAGTTTTAAGAGATTTTAGATTGTTTTTAAGACTTTAGTCGTTGACTCATCAGTCTTGTCTGATGTTGCAACTGTTTAGTGGCCTTTCTGATGACATCATTCAGCAAAATTCCGGGATAGCCTGACCTAGACGATGACTAAACGGGGAATGACTTCTCCTGCCAACACATTGTTAGTGTGTGTATGTGGGGTTTGGATTGCATCACTAGTTTAATTAAACTGTTTTTTCCTGAGAAATACTCTGGAAGTTTGTTCTAGCTGGAAGAAATCCCCATAATATCACTGTTGGTTTGTTCTGTATCTCCTACGGCACCAGTCTCTAATCCTGGGTCAGAACAGAGACTTGTCCCTGTAAAACTGGTTCATGAGAAGAACAGTGCATTATAAACATCGTGGTTTACTACTAGTATGTACAGCCTCAACAGTTTAATGGTTGCAGTATTTTTACAGACTAGGAAATAAAGCAAGTTCTTTATTTTTGTCCTTTTATAAAGACCAAGTTCACTGAAAAAACTTTTTTACTTATTTTTGAATTACGATCGGTCGCTCTGAGTTTAGCGTGCAGGCTAAGTGTGAAAATAGTCCTACCCTATCTCCTGCATTAGCCTCTGATAGAAAATACACAGGGAATACTCTGATTAGATAGACCACACAGATCTATGTCACATTAAAAGAATTAGCATCCATGGACTCACCCAACTTTTCTCGCAACCCGGGAAGGTTTTTGTTGATTTTGTGTCCAGAAAACAGAAGAGAATGTCGCAGCTAGGGATGGGTACCGAATTCGGTACTTTTTAAGGTACCGACCGAATTCCATAGTACCGACCGAGCACCGATTCACGTCATTTCAAACGGTGCCTCGTTTGGGTACCCGTCCATCCTAACGAGAACTTGCCAAGACAGCTGCGCATGCGCAGGAGCGTTTTGTCGTCGCTTGCTGTGAACCAGTTGTAAACAGAGCAGCATGGTAGAGAGAACGCAGGCTAAAGCTTGGGTCCACTTCACTAAATGTGATGGGTAACTGGATGATGAAACCAGCGACAACTATCTAAGTGAGACATCCTCATCTTAATCTGCTCCGGTAGGTAAATATAATTAGCTTGATATATTAGCTTCCGTTTCGCTAATGGTGCGTTCGCTTTCTCCTCGGAACTCTGATTTCCCGACTAGAACAACATGAACGCGCTCTAAAGTTTGGCTTCACTTTACTAAATGTGACGGGTGAAGACGAAACCAGTGACGATCTAAGTGTGAGGCATCGTTTTAATCTGCTCCAGCAGCTAAATAAACTGTTTAAGATATCGTTAGCTTGATAAATTAGCTTCCATTGCTACCATTGTTATCAGCTAATGGTGCGTTCGCTTTCTCCTCGGAAATTCTAACTTCCCAGTAGGAAAAATCAAATGAGAAAGGACGGCAAAAGGAATGAAGATACACAGTAAATTTAGTTCACAGTAATGTTGTTTGCTTCAGTTTAATTATCAGGTTATAAAACTACAAGGACGATGTTAAAATACAAACAGTTGAATGTTATTTATCATGATATTTATCAAATATTGTTATATATTGAGAAAAATATATATTTAATTATAAAAGAGAATTAAAATAATAAACACTCAAAAGTATCGAAAATTGGTACCGTTAAGTACCGGTATCGATTCGTAGGTACCGGGAATTAGTACCGGATCGATTCAAATGTCAAAGGTACCCATCCCTAGTCGCAGCTAGTAGAAGCTAACTAGTATGGAACTAGGATTGGGACAATATGACATTTAACTTGCACCAAGTTTTGTAACTTGTAACATGTTTTGTAACTTGTAACTTTCATTTTGTAACAGGTAAATTAGGTTTGTAGCATGTTATTCTCATTTTGTAGCATTTAACTTTGGTATGTAACATGAAACTTTTATTTAGTAACTTGCAAAAAAAAATCAATGTACAAGTTTCAAATCACAACTTTCAAAACACAAATCTTAGGCTACAGTTACAAAACTCAAGTCCACAAGTACAAAACATTTTGTCCCAGTTCTAGCTTGCTTCCAGCATGAATTGTCTTGGACAGGAATTCAAGACTCGTGATGCCTGTCATTGGTTCTTTGGGAAGGATGCAAACTAGAATTGGGACAAAATGTTTTGTACGTGTAGACTTGAGTTTTGTAACTGTAGACCTACATTTTGTAACTGTAGACTGGGATGTGTGTTTTGAGAGTTGTGATTTGAAACTTTTACATTGATTGTTTTCTGCAAGTTACAAAATAAAAGCTTCATGTTATGTGTCAAAGGTTACGTGTTACAAAACGAGAATTGCATGCTACAAAACAAAAGTTACAGTTACAAAACATGTTACAGGTTACTAAGCTTGATACAAGTCACATGTCATATTGTCTCAATCCTAGTTCCATGAATTAGCTAACATTAGCAACACCAAACGGCAGATATTCTTCAGGCTTGTGTTATTTGTGGAGATAAAACAACGTTACAGAGAAAACAGTCAGTGGTAGAGTCGTGTTGCTGTTAGCCAATCAGAGGCGAGACATCCAAATATTTTTTCAAAGTCCAAAACCTGTCGTGTTCCGCTCACCTCTTCTCTGGCTCACTTCTACTTCCTGAAATAGGAGCGCCAAAGCTTTTTCCCCACAGAGATCAACTCACAAGGCTTTCATTTACATGAGAGACCATGTGTTGAAAAAATAAGTGAACTATGTCTTTTAAAATAAAATTTTTATTTTGTTATAACAATTTATTCATCTGAACCTGATTGGCTTAAAGCTATCATTCATTATTAATCAGCTTTTTGTATTTCTTGTTCTTCAACCCTCAGCTCTACAGACGACTCAACCGCCCAAGGTCCTTTTTCCTCCAGAGAGACAAGATACGGTGATAGAAATCACACCTGGTAAGAAGGAAAAACTCATCTCTATGTTTCATACTTGTTTTAAAGCTGTGATTCTTGTGATTCTGCATTGTTTTCACTCTTGGTGTAAAAGATCAGAGTCGTGGGTTTCGACCTTGTGGCTCGTGAGCTGTCTTGGATGCATGGATGTTTCAGGTTGTTCTGTAACGATGTGATCAGTAGCGTCTAAATGCAACAGGTATATAACCTCTAGATGTTGATGTTGACTTGATACAATGAGTTAAGACAAGTGAAGGTGTTTTCGCAGATCGTCATGGATGCGACGATGCAACAGGAAGATAACAAACCCAAATGGGCTCAGAGTAAACAGCGAAATTACAATGTTTGGAGTTTTATATGTGATGTTAGAACTGCCTCCTTTTGGTTCCTGTGAAAATATTTCTAAAAGTTGTGCAAAACTCTCTGCCCGGCAGAGTGAAGGTGTATAAAAAATGGATGTCAGGCAAGGGCGTAGAAACCGGGGGGGACGGGTGGGACGTGTCCCCTCCAATATTGGACAAACGCGCAATAACACCCCCAATAACATGGAGAAGAAAAAGATTGATTTTGAAATATTTGACTCGCGAGCTTTTATTTTGAAAGACACCACTGACTTCTCTCCGACACAGCCCCTCCCCTCAGGGAGTTAGGCTGGCTGAGGGAAGCAGGAGTCAGAGCCGGGGCAGACACAGGTGTCAGAGACAGACGGCAGCAGCTCAGCGAGTTCTTCTCATGGGCAAAAACATAAAGAAAGGAATTGTGAGTTGGTAATAATTTAGTCCAAGAGGATAATTGTATTTCTGGTCAAACGCTAGACTAGGAAAACAAATTGACTCAATCAGGGTTTGTTGTCGGTATCCAGATCTGGATTCTTTCTGCAAAGGACAGCGCTGTTGTCAACGGGAGCCCGTTGCAAGGTTATGTCTGTGTGATCTAACAATTGATCAACCATTGCTTAAAAATTAAATACAGCTTAGCCGGTGAATTGCTGTGATCATAAAACACGTAAACGGCAGCATGCAGAACTCAAGAGGCAACGTTTTACGTGATGTTTACTTGTTGCTATGAGTAATAAGACAGAAAAAGCCACGCCAAAATAAGTTTAGGAAGCCCACTAAGAATCGTAATAAAAGCATTTAAATTAAATACCATACGCAGTTGAGGAAACGTTGGTTTAAGTACCTGATATGATGTGGTCGCTGCATAAGCGAAAACCTTTACTCTCGGGGTCCCACAGCTTCATTTTAGCCTGGAGGCTAGCGCGTTTTATTGCGATGATCCAACGTTTGCGGCGTTCTGTATCTTGGGGAATCCTGTAGATGGCTCTTATCTTATCTAATCTGCGTCTGTTCTGCATCCTGGGAAACAACAGGAATCTAGCATATTTCCCGTTTGATTGAGTTTTCTGACAATAACAAATAGCCCAGCTGCGGGCTTCTGCCTGCCAAGATGGCGCCGTTCGGTTTGAACTTTTGCATGCCGGGAGAAGTGACATCAACTCCCAGAGCTCTATAGGACTCTTTCTTTAGCTTGGTGGCATCCTTAACCGCTGTTCCACCAGCGGGTTTGGGGATTGTCACCACGATGGGAACGGACGATCCGGCCGCCTCGACAATGGAGACACAGAACATAGCCCACTCAGACTCAATGTCCCACGCTTCCCCTGGAACATTTAGGAAATTCTGACAGAGGTAGGAATTGAAACTTCCTCTGACAGGAGCCTTACAATATGTTTGGGACTGCCAGGTCTGACCGGCATCTTCCCCTACCCCCAAAGCCAATTCACCATCAGGTAGTAGTCAGTTGACAGCTCCGCCCCTCTCTTCACCTGAGTGTCCAAGACATGAGGCTACAGATCAGATGAGATGACAACAAAGTTGATCATCGAGCTGCAGCCTAAGGTATCCTGATTCCAAGAGTGCATATGGACACCTTTATGTCTGAACATGGTGTTCCCTATGGACAATCCATGACCTCCTTTTGCAGAAATAACAGCCTCTAAATGCTTCCTATAGCTTCCAATGAAATTTATTTTTATCGTAACAAGCAACAATTTATTCAGGAAAATCATGAAGATTAACAACACTGCCTGTACTTTTGCATCCCACTATTTTAAAAAAATCCTACCTTCCTTTTTTGAAATATACCAGATGCACCTCGCTGTTCTACCTCTCACTTCCTGTCTGGCTCTTGTGATTTCTTTAACTTCATGACAGCCTGCATGCAGCATCTGGAAAAAAATAGACTCAGTGCAAAAACTTTCTGGAGCGCCACGTCCTATAACCTGACTAAAGCCAAACACATTTCCATCCGGTAGTTTTTCCATTCTATTTTTGTCATTTTATCCTCTGTTATCATGAATGATGGACAGTTTGCAATGCCTTTATAAATATTTGTTTCCATTGGACTTTCAGGACGTAAGCACTCCTATAGACCTTCTAGGAAACGTTAGCAATGATCCAAAGTTTTGTCGCAGAACACCAACTGCAGTTGTAACTGCCTAATGATTTTCTGGTTGTGACAGCCTTAAAGGTTGAGCTCTTTTCATTTATTTCCCCTGACTGATAAGTTCAGTGGACACTTCGACCTACAGCTGTGTCATTGTTAGGACAGCTACTGTCAGACAGATGGGCTAAATCGGCTTGAGGACAAATCAAAAACGATAATGAAGCATTTCTGTAATTCTGCAACTAAATACTAATTACAACTGGGTAATTTTAAAAAAATCCAATATTTCTGTCTGCATCGAACAGTCTAGATGATTATAATGATACAGCTTTGTAATGATCTTCGTCTCAAAGAGAGCATCTGGTTAAACCTACAAGCTGCAAAATTAGCGCTATGTGTTTTATAATCTTTGCTTTAAATTTTTACCTAAATGAATCAACAATCCAAAATAAAATATGCATAATGTTATGAATAATGACACATTTAAAGTCTAAATCAAACCTGATTTATTTTCTGCATATTCCACAGCCAGGATGCATTGCTGGATGGTATATATATATATATATATATATATATATATATATATATATATATGGTCAAACCATGGGTGACACCTGGGTTTGTCCGCGATGTCCATGGTGGGCCCACAGAGATTTGCCCACATAGATTTTAACAAGCCCGTGTATGAGTGAACCTACCTAGGTCTCTCTGAAAACACATGTAGGGCCCATTAAAGAGAGACTTAGCAGTTTTGACTTGCTTTTAGCACCCCCTAGTGTCTGTTTGTAGAACAAAAAGCAAAACTTATCTCCCCATTGTGCTTTCATCTTTTTAACGCCATAACCTCACAGCTGAAATGTCTCCCCAGCCTTCGTTATTGTCTACAGGAGTGATTCATCACTAATGAAACAAATCAGATGTGTTCATGATGTAAAACATGCAGGAAATGTGCTGGAACCAGACTGCAGCAGCAGTCATGTCAGCTCCATTTTTTTCAAAGCCCAACTGACTGGACCGGCACTCTAAAGTTACAAGTGGAATATTCTGGCCACAGGAGGTGATGGGGGCTGGATGGCTTTTCATAAACCCTTTACAGCAGGAGTCCCCAACTAAAATAGCGGGAGGTCCACTACCCCCATTGCCCAATTAGGGTCCGAACATTTTTAATCAATCGACACCTTTTGTTTTCTTTCATTTTTATTTAACATATATAATTAACAATATAGATTTTTGTCTTTTAACTACAGATCAACTATTCTCATTAAATCATCAGGATAGAAGAAAACGCCATCTACTGGAAGTACTAATAAGGAAAAAACTGTTGATGTTGACATTATAATGCACACAAACCAACATTAAGGTGCAAACAATTCACCTAAAACCTAAAGTACAGTCAGAAAAATGAAGTCCTTCAAATTGCACAGAAACTATTTGAAAATCAGCTCACTGTATGATCAATTTTCCATACGCCCACTTTATTACCCGCAGAGCAGAAAAGTGCAGTCTAGTTGAAGTTCTAATACTAAAGAAAAAAACTACTTAAAAATTAAAGATTCAACCAAGTCACCTCAAAACTAAAGTATTTCCTGAAAAATTTAGTAGTGCTTTAACTTGGGCAGAAAATATTCTTGACAAACACAGTATAAATAATTATTGAAATGCCCAATCAATCGGCTGCTGAGAAGAAAACTGCAATCCAGTTAAAGTAACAACATTAAAAGAAAAGCTATTTGACTAGGAAAATGACATTTTTTTTACAGATACATCTTTTTTAAGGTGCAAACTATTCACCTAAAATTTAAAAAACTATTCAAAATGGAAAAATAAGAACTTTTTAAACTTGTTTAATTATTTTTCACAAACAACACAACGTAACTCACATCGTACTGCAAAAATCACTGGCTCTTACTTCAGTGGGAGAAGTCTGCAAGGATATTTGCAGCTAGCATTTAAAACTTTGGGTGGAATGGGGCTACTGCAGTTGTTAGGCATGCATGCACAGTTCATTTGTCGGTTTTGAGAAAAATTTGTTTTTACTCACGAAAACAGTGGAGAATGCTGATTCACAACTGTTTGTGGATCCAAGCGTGGTTAAGGTATGCACTTATGGAACTAGGTGTCACGGTGTAGGAGGTGGAGACGGCGGACCATGTGTGGATGAGCTGAACAGGAGGTAAAAATGCAGGCTTCAGTAAAAGTAAAAATGGTTTAATGGCAGGATGGGATGAACAGGAACACCAACAAACAACAACAATGAACTGACAAAGGACAGGGGCAAAACAGGCGGTATAAATACAGAGGGCTAATTAGGGAAACATGGGCAGGTAAACGAGGGACAGGTGAGAACAATAAGGGTAATCATGGCAGGAGAGGAACACAGTCAGGCGGGCAGGGGCAGATCGTGACAGTACCCCCCCCCCCAAGGGCGGATACCAGACGCCCACAAGGCTATACAACAGGAGACTGGAACGGGACTCGACTCGACCGAAACGGGACTCGACTCGACCGGAACGGGACTCGACTCGACCGGAACGGGACTCGACCGGAACGGGACT